TTATGTTTCTCTTTTCATTAGTGGTTGCAAGGAAGGGTATTATCAAACAACGGTTGCAGGCTTAAGAGTGCAAGGAAAGAACAAGCTTTAGTAAGTTCCATCGTAACTAGAATTTATTTACACTTATAGGGTGGTCACTGTGCCCTGTTGGAGCAAATGTGTATACTAACGTGCATGCACGGGCGCAAACGACTTTGCCAACGCGCATCGGGGTTAGTATATTCATTTGTTTCTATGGGGCACAGCCACAACCCTAGAGAGTACAAATAAAGAATTTCAAGACCTAAATGTTATTTCTTCGGCGCTTCCTGAAAGTAATTGTTTTCTCATCATCTTTATTTTAGGTCTCTGGGGATGCTCAGCTTGCTTCTCAGCAATGTTCTAATCCTAATCCTGTCCTGGTTAATGGGACGACCAGTTCCGCTATATCTTATCCTGCTTTGGTTAATGGAATGACAAATGGTGCTGCATCTTATCCTGCTTTGGTTAATGGAACCAACGGCCTATCTAGTCGTAATCTAGTCAATGCAATGACTACTCGTCCTTGCCTTCCTGCTGTGGTTAATGGAGTGACCAATGGCATACTATCTAGTCCTCCCTTTTTGAATGAAATGACTGCACTAACTAATCCTTCGGTCAGTGGAATATCCAACTGCAATTTAAAATCCTGTTAGTCAATGACATGACTATCCAAGTCACTTTTTTTTCACGTCACATGCTTTGTCGATTAAATAATTTGTTTTCTTTTGTGCAGCTATCATCACAAGCAGGACCAGTTCCTTTGATGTCTATTAGTGTGAATGTTCCATCTTTTCAATCAAAGCAAACCCCATCACCAACAAGACCAAGGGGTAGACTGTCACAGCAGCAGGTGGTATTTAAATCCTATGTCGAAGAGCTGTCACACTTAACAAGTACCCTTGGTCTGGGCAACCCTACGTATAAATATGTGGAACGTAAACCAACTAGAAAACAGGCGGTGTTCATAGCTAAATTAAAGGTAATAACCACTATTTCCTTTTCCTCTTCAAGCTCTGTGCAATTTTCAATTTTGGACTACTGTGTTTTTAGATTGGAGAGACATTGCTGTATAGCTCATATCCAGATGAGAAACCAACTTGTGAAGAGGCGCAAGAATTTGTGGCAAAATTAGCCTGTGACGATTTGCGTCAAAGACCAAGGGAAGCTGAGGATCTCGATGATGATAAAGTTATAGAAAGAGTGTTCAATGTATGTACCAATTTATTTTATTCAAATCTTTATATTCTAACTGTAACCTTTGGTTTCTGAGTAACTTACTGTTTGTGTTTGTGCTTATAGATTGTTCAGAGCAAAGCTAATGGTATGGTTGAATCTGGCATTGTGAAGGAGTATGAAAGTATCTACAGTAGCTCGTTACCAATCTCCTGGCTGGAGGTCATAGGAGCTTCACCAAGATTTGAAGTGGAGCAACCTCTAAATGGGAGAGGCAATGCTATCATTTATCCAAATTTGGTAGGAATCTCTCACAAAACCATCTAGCATCCATTTATGGCCTTGACCTTAGGACCTTGTAATTTTGTAATTCAAATTGAAGGAATTACTTTGGCCCTGGTCATTATGTATTATTATGCATTTTATTGTTCCTATGTTTTTTATCTCAATTTTACGTACTGGCATTTCAGTGTGTGCAAGAAGATCAACCACCCATATCATCTATCCCTGAAATGACTACCTTACCTGAAGCTCGAGCAATCACTGTCTCAAGACCGGAACCTCTTCATGTAAATGGTGCAACTCCCTCTAGTCTTAATAACTTCTCACGTCAGAAACCATTTAAAGACATAAATGCTAACACAGTTCCTTGTGGAGACTCCTCTATCGTAAGAGAACTACCCAAGCTTGTTTTACCTAAACCCAAAGAAGGAACGTGGGACGTCTTTGTTGCATCAGTTTCCTCCACCGAAAATGAGTTGTGGGTGAGATTTATTGGTGACGAGTATGATGTAAGTTACTATTTCCCCACCTTATTTTATCGTTATGAAAACACAGCTTTTACTTGACCCTGCATGTAGTGCTCACATTTTATTGCATATTTTTATTTATTTTGCAGGCAAAATATAATGATTTAATGACTGATCTTGAAATTAAAATGTTCTCAAGTAGTGAACCGGTGCAAAACCCTGTTGTTGATCAATTTTATTGCTGCAAATTTGACAACAACTGGCTGAGGGTACAGCTCAAGGAAATTCTAAAGAAAACTGATGGATCAGAGGATGAAGCAGTAGTTTTTCTCATAGACAATGGTGAAATGGATAATGTTTCCCTCTCTGAACTGAGAGTGATTGATGAAGAATATTTGAGACTACCTGGACAGGTACTGTGACATTTAAAAGTTGCGATGTAAGTTATTTGAACAGTTGTGCAATTTCATATCTCTATTTTCCTCGCAGGCTGTTCCTGTAGTATTAGCTTATGTCGATGTGACATATGAGGCAGCTCAGATCTACCTTATGAATAATGTGATAGGATCCTCTTTTGTTGCTGAAATTATTAAACACTCAGAAGAACTGCCGAAAGTTGTTCTTTACAATACTGAGAATGAAGGAGAGGCTCTGAACATTAATTCATGCATATTAGACAGTATTATTCAGAGTTTAGACAAGCCTCAATTGGTGCAGGTTTGTACAGTCATTAATTATTACTCCTAATTGAAACTTGTAGAATATTTACTCCATGTCCTATTTTTTGTTACAGGGATTAAATTTCTTAAGAATATCTCATGTACAAAAGGAAACCCGTCCCTTTGTACAAATCAAAGGAAAGGATTTGTTTTTCTTAGAGAGTATACTCAACGACATTTCTTTAATTGACTTGGTAGCAGTCCATGGGGTTAATGCTCACCCAAGATTGGTTGTGGATTCAAGGCAAATGTTTTTGGTCCGATCAAAACGATGTCCTAACACATGGCTCAGAGCAAACATTGTGGACAGTACCACCAATCAAAGAACTTTTGTCGTAAGTTATCTTATAAAACAGATCTCTTCTGATTTAAAAAAAAAATGTTAGTGCTGACCATGTTGTACTTTTTTCAGATGCACTTCTGCGATCATGGTTTTACAGAAAGAGTACTTCTGAGTGATATTTTTGATCTTAAGAAAGTGTTGCAACCTTTGTGCAAGTTTCCTGTCCAAGTGAGTGAAAATATATGCACTAATTTTTGGGCTGCATTTATGCTTACTGTACACACATGCAGCTTATACTATTATAGACATGTTACTTTCATTCAATAGTTAAGCCTGTTCTCACTTTTTGGGTTGATTTGCAGGCTGTACAGTTTAATTTAGCTGATTTGAATGAGTCCCAACTAAATTCTGGTGTAGTTAAGAGACTTACAGAGCTTGCTCCTCCAGACCAATTTGTTATTGGTAAAGTCGATCAGGGCTCTGGAGACTTGAAATTATTCAAAAGAATCCAACCAGATAATTTAATCTTTTCCATCAATGGCGATTTAATCTTCAGTTATGAGGAGTAAGTAGGAATAATAGCCTTTTGCAGCTTTCATGTCTTATTTCACTTTCATTAGTTAATTGTTAATTTGTATTCACACCTCTTCTTGACTAGGTTAAAAAATACCCCAGACATTGAAGAGGAGGATCAAGCAGATGCCACAGCTGCTTGTGGTAAGTCTCTTCAGTGTTACCTAAAGCATAAGCTATAGCAGGGTTCCATACATTTTTCAACATTTCTTTAAAAAATTATGTCCACTGATTGTTTATACACTTTCCTGTTCTGTTGAAACATTCGAGTGGAAGCAATTTATTTATTAACATGGTCTCTGGAACTTACAAAAATATAAACAAAATGATCTTGCAATAACAAAATTTGATTTTTAAAATTTCTGTTTTTTGAAATTTTGTATCTGCACTTATTTGCTTTGTCTATTCAGGTACCCAAGATGTCTCAACTAACCCACTGGCTATCTACCAGCTGCCAGTTGATGTTGAATTTTTCAATGTGCATGTTACCATGTCAAGTAACCCATTCAATTTTGTGGTAAGGATCAATGTCTTACCTTTACTCGCTCCTATATGAAGAACTTTGTTTTCTCAGGTGTTTGCATTTTTACAGGTACAACCAGTAGTAGAGTTACCTTCATTTAATGCTATGATGGCAAGTATGCAGGAGTATTATGAGGCAACGCATCACATCATGTCAACTCCTGCCATAGAGGAGCTTGTGGAAAATAGAGCTTTTGCAGCTAAGCACCCAGAAGACTTACAGTGGTACAGGTATAGAAAAATTATCTATCCTACTGTGTTGTCATTATGGTTTTTGAAGTGTTCTGCCACTGTTACATCTATTTCCAATCTTTTGCAGAGTAAGTATAGTTGCCACTCTTAATCAAGGTGTGGTCAGTGTCCGCTATGCCGATTATGGCGATGTTGGACTGGTCGCACTTGACCGCATAAGATTCCTTGAAGAGAGGTTTAAGCAGATTCCAGCATTGGCCATCAGGGCAAAATTACATGGTAAGATGATCTGTGTCTGAAGAGATTTCGTATAGCCAGTTATGAGGTCAATAATTTAACACTTGATTCCACTTACAGGCGTCAAACCACTCAACATTGATTGGAGTGTGGAGGAATGTTTGTTCTTCAACAATTTGGTTGAGGAAAACTCCTTCCCTACCATCATCCGAGAAATTAATCAAAATGTTACTGCTGCTAATTCGTGGCGAGTTAGCCTCAGTGTCATTGATACTTCAAATGAAAATGAAGATATTGACATAGGAGATCACCTAATACAAAATGAATATGCAGGGAAAGCATGAGTTTCTTTTTATTGAAAACAGATATTAT